GCGCAGACACCAATCCATCAAGAACAGGAGCACGCGCGCTGACCAAAAAGCCGTCATCTGCATCTGCTGGTCGCGCAGACACCAATCCATCAAGAACAGGAGCACGCGCGCTGACCAAAAACCCGTCATCTGCATCTGCTGCTCGCGCAGACACCAATCCATCAAGAACAGGAGCACGCGCGCTGAGCAAAAAGCCGTCGTTCGGATCCGCTTCTGGCTTGGAGGAAATCAACCCGCTCGTGCCTATAACCCGGGAATCGGGTTCATGCTGAACGTTCTCGTTTGAGTCTGACATTCTCGATCTGTAGCAAAACTCGTAAGCATACGCTGATTCTCTGCTTACTCGTGAGATTCCCTGCTTACGGGAGCATACGTAGATCCTACTGTCAATAGTACAAGAATATCCCTCCAATTGTATCTATATATTCTTTCTAACGGATTCTCTTCAGGGGCATTTTGTATCCTTTTCAGTTTCTGTGCTGTCGGTTGTGTAGCTCAATACGAATACAATAAATATATATGCACAGAGATGGATTCTACCTCTACGTCTACTACAACAAGAACATGAATAAAACTATCTAGACGAAGATGAAGGCGAATGGAAGTCGTGATCGTATTCTGCTTGGGTGTATCAGATGTTGAGCTTGCGGAAGGGAAGGGGAACGCTGAGTGCGCGCATTAGTACTTGAGGAGTCAGCGCGTGGTACGACCTGCAGGGCAAATTATGACAACTTCCCCCTTAGTGTGGTCAGACCGAAATGTGGTGGAGACAGATCACTCGCATCTAATCCTGGTACTTCTGCTTCATATCTATGCGTCCAAATTCTCAAACCGATGTCAGGTGGTGGTCCGAGTAGAGCGTATGTACGAATACGATGTCGGTTAGAAAAACCAGGGCGCCATGTGCGACTAGTACTTCCCAAGAATTATATATAAGTGCAGGACTACTCGACGACGTAGGGTGCTTCGGAGGGCGTGGCGAGAGCGAGAGGCATACAAATGCGGCGATAATAACCATACCAGATGATGATCAACCATCTTTCGTCAGTGACCGAAGGAGCGATCTCAAGCGTCAAACAACGAAGGCTTGTAAGGAGTTACGACATCGGAGGCCCACGACGAATTATCGCCTAGACCTTTAAAGCATTTTAGGCTTAGACTTAAAGACCAAAGTTCCAAGAAGGACACCTTAGAAGTCTGCGTTTTCTAACAACAGTAAAGACGAAAAAAGTCTTGCATGTCTTCTGGTTTGGCAGACCACGAGTCTTCCACGTCCATATCGCATGATTTTTTATGACATAAAGACTCAAATTCACATCGCTCAACCGTCTCTCGGTGAATGGAGGTACTCATTCATTCATTTACCTGTTCTGGAGGTAGCAAATGGAGATGTTTTTTTCCATATCAACATCATTTCATCCCGTGTGGAAGATGGACGAATTTCTACGCGAACATTTCTTCATATTCTATAAATCTCGTCGACTGTAAGAAGCACAAGAGCACGTCGAAGGGTGTTATCTTAAGGCTCAAAATATTCCATTTCTATAATAGAGTAAGGCTTTTTCTATAATAGAGTAAGGTAGCGGGTCGAGTTTCTCGGGTTGCCCACCCTAATTTTTTGCGCGGCGCCCTTCAGGCGCAGCTTCGGGAGACTTCGCGAAACCTTAACAGGAGCGCACGACGCTGCGAACCGTGTCTCTGCTCCATGCAATTTGTTCCGCTGCGCCCGCAAGGCGCAGGCTTGGCGAGACGGTGAAGTACTAGAAAACAAGGACTCAGCGGGCCAGAAGAAGGGGACTTTGCCCGTGGGTGGAAGACAGCCCGGGGGAAGCAGTAAAATGTCCGCACCGGGTCCAGCGCGGGGGCCCTGGGGGTGTGGCATGTACCACACCAGCCCACCCACCTGCCGACCAAACAAAAGAAAACCGCACACATCGCGACCCGCCCAAACAGCCCCCGCCGCATGTTTCTCAAATTAATTCACAAAGGCACCCACCCTTCGGCCGCAAGCCAGCTACGCGCCCACCTTGGCGGGGACCCCTCCCACCGCAATGTCGAGGAACGAAAACCCAAGCCCAGCTTGACACCATTCCCCAACGAACCGAACAACAGGCACAGGGGGGCGAGGCACTTGCTCCCGACCACCGCGACCGCGTGGGGAGGGGCGCGCCGCCATCGATCCCAAACGCAAAGGAGCAGCGCCGCCCCAGCCTTCTTTTGCGAAGCAAGAAGCTCCCAAAGAAAGCGCCCCGCTTTCCGACCGGGTGAGTACTTTTACGCCCGCTCCGCTCTGCTTCGCTACCATTTCGACGCAGCTCGCTTCTTCTGGCAACTCGTGGCAACTCGTTCCAATCTTGGAGCCCTTCGCTTCGGCAACTCGAGCAAACCGCGGCAACTCGAAGCCCGTTATTGGCCTTACTCCACTATAGTATACGTCATTTCTCGCAATTTTCTTCTTGGGAATCTGAAGAAATAAACGCAAGAAATGAAATGTTTTGAGCTCTAATTATCTATCATAGTGAAGATAGAGATGAAGTCGTGTTCTTATCTTCCAGCACGTGCGTTATCGAGAACAGTCACAGAGTTCGAGCCAAATTAAGACACAAATGCAACAAGGACGATTGTATAACCAAATGAGGCGGTAGTGTAGAAGTACATGACTCAGATTGAAACATTTTCCTAACAATTATCGTCATCATACAGATGGCATGCATCATATCATAACATGCTTTCAAGGATTGAGTACTGTTCCAGTCCGAAACCAAATCGCTACTTTCCATTCTTTTAGTAAGCATCGATATATAAAGATCTAAGCTACAGCTTCCACGTCGGTCCAGCCGATATCATTATTATCCAGGGGCGAGGTTGGCCCGGGGTTGGGCGGGCTGTGCACTACAGTACTCCGCGCGCATTCTAGCGCATGAAAGGTAAGCCAAGCCTGACAGACTACCTCAAGGTCTCAAGCGCCTCCAAGGCGCGGTAGAGCCACAGCTCAGCAGTTTGGAAAGAGAACGGCCACAGCAACCCCAGCTCTCTCGCGCCCTGTGACTGTCCTGGTGCACAGTCAAAGAGTACAGGGCTGGGCTGGTTGCGGCGTGGTGGTCCGAACTCCATGCCGAGGGGCCTGACTGAATGCTCTGTCACTGAGTTCTAAAATAAAAGCAGAAAGCGGCAACGCAGATGCGGCGACTCCCACCCCGTGGGCGCACCTGCGCGCGTTGATCAGAAACGGACGAAGAAAATACGCCCAACCTCGAGCCCGTCGAGGAACGAAGCCAAAAGCCACTGCATGCGGAAACGCGCGCCAAGCCTGTGGCTGAGATATGTTCAGTCACCCACTCACGCGGAGCAGCGTAAACAGCCCAAAGGATTGGCCTCGCTGGTGAAGCCAGCACCGACCAGCACACGCGACCAAACGCGAAAAGACCCAACGAAAGGGGAAAGGGGCGCCGCCTGCGCTCATGGTGCGCGGAGGGAAAACCCGGCGGGCGAAGGTCAGGTAGTGTGGGGGCTAACTCCTCTAAGATAGAAAAAAGTGAGGTCATTCCACATATTTACCAAATTTCTTCGCTACAGTCGCAGCCGCAGCTCCTGTACGTTTACCTATGTATTCATCTCTTATGTGGATCATCATGTCAGCGCCTGCTAGTCGTGCTGCTTGTTTCCTGTTCACGCGTCAGCGTCACGGAGCCCACCAGCGTAAAAAAACTGGATCACAGTCTCGTAGTTGCAGTTATGTGCGATGTGAACCTCTTATTGATGCGAGCCTCTTCTTGATGGCTACCAAGGTCGTATGGGTACAAACTTATTTTTTTCGTTTTTCCACGTTGCAAGTTGATTTCTTCGTAATTGTAAGAGGATAGACGATTCCGGGGCTTTCATTACGAGCTCGCTTTTATTACAGGTCATTATGTCGACGCCGACTGTATCAGCTACCCTACTGCTGGGCGAACTAAGTACTTGTTCTCCTGACAAGTTCAGCCAAATGTGTATACAAGAACTTTTCTTCAACATTAAGCCGGTCCAATAGTTAGATGCGCGTCAATGGATATGGATGTATCTTTATCGTACAAGGGGATTTTTCAATAACATCAATCTACATACTAGGTAATCGAATAAGTCGGTACGATATTGTTTTTATCAAATACACATCATTTTTACCAAGAATATGAGGAATATAAGAAATACATCAGGAACATAGACATTAGAAGCAATCGCGCATATTAAGTTAATACCCAGAGAGATCAAGCTTTTCTATTCCTTTACATTCGGAGACCTCCATCGGTCCAAAAACGATTTGAATTTTCGTTCAGACACCAATTTTTAAGTTACAACACATGATCAGACTAGAAGTGTACAGGATATACACTTACGCCTTCTTCTTCAACTTATTGTTATCTTTTTGTCATTACCTGCAGTAATTGATCAACATAATATCAGGTATGCTTCATTGAGTGCTAATCTTTTCTAGCGCCAGCTGGCAAAGTCAAATTCAAAAATCTTGTTTGAAGTACAAGAACTTCAATGAGTTTTTTACTTGCAAAACCAAGAAAACTGACGACGAGTTTTTCAGAGATGCTCTAGGAGCTTGTCATCTTGCGGCCTTTCGTTAATAAATGGCACATCATCATGTGGCTCTGCTAAGTGTGGTGCCAACTTCAACCGCTTCCACCACGCGCTACAAGGTGTTGATGCCTCGTGTTGTTCAGGCCTCGTCATCTAGACGGCATTGTAGGAACCCACCGTTTCGCTCGCGTCACCGTCACCTCCAGCATTATTCGCCTTCAGTTTGCGATAGAGCCTATCCCCGGAAAAGGTTAGAGCATTTTCTGATGGTCTTCCTACTTATTTCCGCTACAATCCCTAGTACCGATAATCTCTAGAAGTGGTTATACTTCAACTTCTGCTCCTTCTTTGATGAATTTGGAACAACAACTCGCACTATGCTAGAAAGTGATAAGATTAAGATTAAGATTAAGATTAAGAACTAGAACAGCAAATAGACTAAGAACTCTAAAAACGTGCTCCATAAAAAGAGATACCGACGCCGCTCGAGATTGTACCCGATTGCCACTCCAACCAGAGCCATGGTTGCAGGTACAAATTGTAGAAAAATTTTCGGAAGCCTGAAAAGGAAAATGATTTATATGATGAGGTCAACACTATTCTATTTTCTGGATTCATTCCACATGTCTAGCTACAATCATGACCTATACTTATATATGTACCAGGGAGGGAGGCCCCCCCCCCTGTGGATGGATCTTGGGTGGACCACGCCAGAGGGGTCCAGCCTGGCCACCTTTGCGCGGTCTGTATGGTTGGCCACATGCAGCACGCCAAGGGGGTGGGTCCCGCCTTGCCTCCTCTGCCAGCTCTGTCGGGTACCGCAACACGCCCGAGGGCGCCAGCCTTGCCACCTTTGCCAGGTCTGTAGGGCACAGGCAACAAGGCAGCGGGGCCCTGCCTTTGCCCCCTTTGCCAGGTCTGTAGGGCACATGCAACAAGGCAGCGGGGCCCTGCCTTTGCCCCCTTTGCCAGGTCTGTAGGGCACATGCAACAAGGCAGCGGGGCCCTGCCTTTGCCAGGTCTGTCGGGTACATGCAACAAGCCAGCGGGGCCCTGCCTTTGCCTTTGCCAGGTCTGAAGGGTACATGCAACAAGCCAGCGGGGCCCTGCCTTTGCCTTTGCCAGGTCTGTAGGGTACATGCAACAAGGCAGCGGGGCCCTGCCTTTGCCCCCTTTGCCTTTGCCAGGTCTTTAGGGTACAGGCAACAAGGCGGGAAGGGGTCAGAAGTGGGCGCTTTGAGGCCTTCCCGCCCGGCAGCCCCTCGAAAAGAGGGGCCGGGGCTGGCA